AACCTCTTGAGGAAATAAAACCCTCCGGTATGAAGGAGGAGGATTGGAAGATCTTGGATCGCAAGGCACTTGGAGTTGTGAGATTGTCATTGTCTAGGAATGTTGCCTACAATGTCAAGGATGAGAAGACAACGGCAGGGTTGATCAAAACTCTATCAAGTATATATTTATGAAAAGCCCTCGGCGGTGAACAAGGTTTACTTGATGCGTTGGTTATTTGATTTAAAGATGAGAAATGGTAGCTCAGTCGCGGAACACATGAATGAGTTCAATTCGATATTGAGCCAATTGTCTTCGGTGGAGATTAAGTTTGATGATGAGGTGAAGGCATTGATTTTGTTGTCCTCTTTGCCTACATCGTGGGAAATGGTGGTGGCCGCTATAAGCAACTCTTCGGGGAAGACGAAGCTAAAGAGTGATGATGTGAGGGATTTGATTTTGAGTGAGAGCACTCGAAGAAGAGAATCCGGGGAGTTTGGTCTACCTGTTGTCTTCCCCTTCCCCTACTCTTAAACGCATCACCTTCGACCTCCCATGTAGACCAAACTTGTGAAATGTTCGGTTGAACCGGGTTTTGAGGCAGAGTCTGCAGCTCCTTCACTTTTAGACACTACAAGAAAACAGCTTGATTCCGACGGAAAAAATCCGTCGGAAACATCGGAAATTTCGTCGAAAACTAGCCTTCCGACGGAATTGTGTTGGAATCAGTCTGTCGCAAAACCCTTTTTAGGAAATTCAACCTTTTCCTAAAAGTTTCAATATCAAAGGCTTTTTGACCAATGATTGGGTATATGTGCTAAATAAATCACATATTGTTATGATTTAAAAAAAAAATCTAAAAATAGGAAAAGGAGTAAAAATAAATAAATTATGACTACTAAATGCAAGGGTACAAACAGTAAACTAACTCTAGGACTCGATACTATATCTAAATTAATATCTAAATCCCTTTATATGATATTGACTAATTACCTCCCCGGCAACGGCGCCAAAAACTTGGTCAGGCCTAAATCTACCGCAAGTGGACGGGTCAACTACTGTAAATATAGGTTGAGCAAGGTATCGTATCCTCAAGGAGGTCTAATCAAATACCAAATTAAGAAACTCTAATATTATTTAGACGATAAAAATATGGTTGAATTAAAATTAAAATACTACTACTAAAAACTAAAAACTAAATATGTAGATGAAAAGTAATCAAATATGATAAGAAGTTCTAGGTTTCGGATTCATCTTTTACCTTTATACCAAATGAATATAAACTAAATGTAGGGTTGAAATAAATATTGCAATGATCGAAATTCCTATAGTATATATTCTCCTCTCCCAAGGTAGAATACGTATGTTCATATTAATCTTATGTCTACTTCCGTGATCATAACAATTAACACAAACTCATTAAGAACATGATTTCATATAAAAAACCACCTCAAGTGAATAACTATTCCTAAAATTATACTACTTGACGTTTGATAATCCCACGAACTAATATAATTAAACTTTGACTCCCGCTAATCAGTGGCGGACCCAGGAATTTCCGATTGGTGGGTCACAATCGATAATCAAGTATGTAAAAAAAAAAAATTACCGAACAACCAAATAATAGTACTAAAAAATACATCCAAATATTCAAACAGTACAAAATACAACCAAATGTTCATATAATACTACAAAAGACAACTAAATAGTAATGCAAACTTATTACAATAGTTCTCGACGAGTTTTCATGTTTTGATATCGATTCATGATATCTTCCATGCTAACATTCAAAAACAAATCATTCTCCAAATAAGTAATTAAACAATCATTCAACATTTGATCTCCCATGCTATTTCGTAGTTTGTCTTTCACTTGCTTCATGCCAGAAAATACCCTTTCCACACTTGCCGTTGCGACAGGAAGAAGCAACACCAACTTCAAAAGTAAATAGACCCTATCATGAGTTTCAGACAATCCCGTTTCAACCAATTTGATTGAAAGATCACTAAGACCCTTCAAATTCCAAAACCTTTCATCTCCTCTAACAGAACAAATGTAACTATCAAGTGTATGACCAAAGACTATCAATTCTGAACTTGGAAATTCATTAGGATAGAATTTTGCAAGCTTAATCAATTTTTCCTTGTCAAACTTAGAAAAACGATCCACAGGACTCAAACAAGACATACACACAAGTAGTTCTTTAGTTATTTCGGGAAATCGATTTTCAAGTTCTTGCAATTGAAGATCAATGACACCAAAAAAAACTTCAACTCGAAAATGATGTAGATTAGACACTTGTGGGCATTTACCTCTAAACAACCTCCTCCCGGGAACAACATATTTAGCCTCCATATCTGGAACTGCAATGTCATAGTCACCAATAAAAGAAATTACCTTTTCCATATGAGAATCCCATCCTTCATCTCTCATTTTTTGCAAATTAGTCTTGGTTACATTAACCATGGCCATTGCATTCACAATGTCTTGATCGTGCTTTTGTAAGGCCACATTCAAAGCATTTGTTATCGCAAATATACTAACCATCAAGTGTGCCACGAACACAAAATCAAAGGACATCAGAAGATTTGTAAGTGTTTGAGCTCTATTAGAATCTATTGTATCAGATACTTTTGCAATATCCTCAAGAGAACCAAGGATTACAGGGAATAAATCAAGTACATTCAAGATTGTCTTGAAGTGAGATCCCCAACGAGTATCACAAGGTCTACCTAATCCACGTTCTTGATTTAAACCTGAACCCGTTTCAAGTTCACCTAGAGACAATGCATCCACCACTCTTTGAGCTTGATTTTCACGAAGAAACTCTTTCCTTTTTGGTGAACCCCCCACAAAATTCAAGAGAGGTGCAAGTACATCAACAAATAACCAAGCACAATCTGAATTCTTTTTAGCAAGTGCAACTTGAGTTAATTGAAGTTGGTGAGCAAAGCAGTGGACAAAATAAGCTTCTTTACACTCATTCTCTATAAGAGTCCTAAGGCCATTAATAGAACCTTGCATATTACTTGCCCCATCATAACCCTGACCCCGTACTTGAGAGAAAGACAAAGAATGCTCCATTAATAAGGATTCAATAGCAGTTTTGAGAGTCAAAGAAGCAGTGTTTACAACATGCACAATACCAAGTAAACGCTCACACACTTCTCCCTTTCTATTAACATATCTCAAACAAAGAGCCAATTGTTCCTTGTCAGAAACATCAGCGGACTCATCAGCAAGGATAGAAAATAAACCACCATCAATATCTTCAAGCATTGCTTTAGTGGTCTCTTTTGCACATGCATTTATGATATCTTTTTGGACTTTAGGAGAAGTAAGTTGATAATTACTAGGAGCATTTTTGAAAACAACTTTAGAATATTCAGGATTACCTTTGGAAATAAGGGATAAAAGTGAAAGAAAGTTACCTCTTCTTAAGGAACTTTCTTTTTCATCATGACCACGGAAAGGCAACCCTTGGAGTAAAAGCCATTGGATAGATTCAATTGAAGCTTCAAGTCGCGTCCTATATGCATTTGTACTCTCAGCGGTTTGTTTTGTTAAGGCTTGTGTGATGCTTGAATTTTGTTTCTTGAACAAATCCATAGCTAAAACAACATTATTATGTGCACTCAAGTGTTTACCGACATGTTTTCTTATTAAATCCGATCGGTTCCATGATTTGAAACGATCACTAACAAAAGCATCACCTCCAAAGGCATTTTCATCCTTGAATAGATAACAAGGGAAACAATAGGCAGCATCCTTTTCCACACTATACTCAAGCCAAGTCCAAGTATCAAACCACTTAGCACAAAAGCGACGATTTTTGCCAAAAATAGAAGTTTGAGGAAATGTAAAGTCTTTGGGCTGATAAGGCTTTCTTTGAATGTAAATTCTTCTCACTAAATCTCTATCATCTTTATGAAATTGACTCATTTTTCTCCTCTTTCCTGGATCTTGTGGAAGATTAGCAAATTCATGTTCACTTAATCTTTCTCCAAAGATTGGGGCATTAGGAGAACATTGGCCTTGTTCATTTTGAGGGGAATTTTGAGTTGAATAATGAGATGGAGATGAAAGTTGCTCACTTTCTTGAGGTGGAGTTATAGTTTGTTCATTTTGTGTTGGATGTGGAAGAGAAGTTGGAGTAGGATTCTTTTTAGCAAAGAAGCTAGTAATGTTTTGCATTTCATTTGGAGTACGTTTTCTCTTCATTCTGAAATTTGAATAAATATTGAACTAAATCAAGCAATATTCCCCAGAAAAATTATTTGAATAAATATTCAACTAAATGGTCTAAATCAAGCAATTTCACATAATGACATAATCACATAAACATATTACACAAAACACAATTACACAAAACAGATTTCACATAAGTAATAAGTTCAAGAGATTTCAATTACACAAAACACAATTACACAAAACACAATTACACAAAACAGATTTCACAAAAAGAATCAATTGATGATTAGTTGATTACCTACCTTGCTAGGCGGAGGCGAGCAGCGGAGCAGGCGGAGCAGCACTGCAATAGGGCCACGGGCAGTCGGCCAGCACCGCAGCACGGCAATCGGCAGCACTCAAGTCTCAGGCACCGAGGCACGCACTCAGCAAGACAACAATTCGCCAATTCAGCAGCACAACCAACTACAAATTAACAAATCAACCAAAGTTTAAACCAAAGTTTAAACCAAAGTTTAATAAAATTAACTAATTAGACTGAATTAATTTGAAGATTAGAAATTAAAAATAAAAATTAGAAATCAACTTACTAGCGAGTAGCGATTTTGAAATGCGATTATGCGACTATGCGAGAAGCCACGAAGAGGACGGAGTCCACGACCACCGACGTCCGACTATCAGGCGAAGAGAACGGTGGCTGCCTGGCTGGGACGAAGCGAAGAGGCGAACTGAAGAATGGAGATGAGGCGAAGTCGCGAAGAGAAGAAGGCTAGGGCTTGAAGTCTTGAACTGAATTCGTGTTTGGTTTTTTTGGGGAAAACTGATTTTAATTTTTTTTTTTTAAATAACTTAAAATTTTTTTTGGGCCTGGTGAGTCACTTGACCCACCAGGTCTAAGCCCAAGTCCGCCAATGCCGCTAATAATCTAATACCTTAAACATATAATCAATTGGCCAGATAAATTATTCGAATTAAAATCAAGATTATCAAATTGCAATAATGTAAATCAAACCCAAACAAAATACTTCAATCCATCGATAAATTAATAGAAGACTACACCTCCAACCTAGAACAAAGAAACCTAACAATTCATGAAAATCAATTCAACCCAATTGTATAACAATGAAAAATTAATACTTGACATAATAATTAATCAGAGTTTAACAATTAAAAAGAATGAGGAAGGATTAAACTCAGATGAATTCGTCTTCCTCCTTGCACTGTATTGCTCTGTTCGCTGCTCGTCTCGTCTTCCACCCCTTCTGTTGTATGTTTTTGGGGGTTTCTAATATACCCTTAATCCATCCGATTTTCTAGGGTTGTTTTTAGATAGGATAAGTTTAATAGAAGAAGATGATGAAGAAGATAGGTTTTGGTCTTCGATTTTCACAGAAGAATAGCTGCATCCTTTTCTTCTGCTTTTGTTTTCTTTCTTTTCTTGATTTTTTCGTACTTGTAATTGTCAAGTCCAATTTCCTCTTGTTTTCCTATCAAAAAAAAAGGAAAAAAAAACACAATAAAATATTAAATATCACTTATAAAATAAAATACTAATTAAAATAAAATCTAAAATGATTACGGTAAATAAATTCATAAAATAACTATTATAAGAGGTTATAAGACTAATATTAGGGATAAAATGTGGTATATTACGCACTTATCAGGGGGTTAAATTAGGTTATGGTGGTTGGTGATGGCATTGGTAGTTGGGTGATGATATTGCTTGTGATTGCTAGTTGTGGTTAGGGTGGTGGCAGGAAGGAATTTGGCTAAAGCTAAGGCTCTAGAAGAACAAAGAGATGATAAGAAGAAATCTTACTTTGTGAGTTATGACTCTGGAACCAGCTGCAACTAATCGCTTAAGAGCTTCACGGGCAATTTCAGATTGTGCTGTTGCACCTGCTACATCAATAAGATTCAAAAACTGCCTTACAAATTTTGTTATCCCTTGTACTGCATCTACAATGTTTTCTTTCTTAGTAGCTATATTTAACAGGTTTGTCAAATTCAACCCTTAAGTTTCTTGTCCTATATCCCTGCTATTGCTCATTGTTAGGTAGAGGTGGTTATTGGGCGGGTCAGTGCAGGTCGGTGGGGGTCATTAGCGGGGCGGGTCGGCTGCGGATCGAGATGAATATTTAGCGGGTCAGGGTCAGGTCAGGGTTAAGGCAGGTCAGGGTCGAGGTAAAAGTGAAACGGGCCATTACCCACATTGAAAACAGAGAAGAAAAAGGAAAATAAAAATAAATAAAATGAAATTAAAAAGGAAAATAAAACCAAATTCCCCAAAATCAATCAGACACCCCCCTGTTCTCTTCCTCTTTGTGAAGTCGTGAAATGCTTGGCTGCACTCTCTTCTCCATCAGCTCCAACACCATCGCAAATCAGAGCCATTGATTTCCTTCGTTGCTCAATCGCAGCAGCCTAAATTCATCATCAAATCGCAGCCGCACAATTTCATTAAACCCGTAAAATGATGATGATACCTGAGAAGCGGCTTCAATGGAGAACTCTGAGTGCGCTTCAATGGAGGAGAGAGAAAGGTATTTGGGTTAATTTTTTTTTTTTAAAATTTTTTTTTACACGATCTCTCCCTTGAATACACAACTCCCATAGAATCAACAAATTTGAAATTAACAACAATTTTTTGAATAAATTTTCAGCAGAAACAGTAATTCTTCAGCTATCTACTTTGCCTAAAAAAAATGAAACTCCAACACAAGTTACACCTTAATCGAAACCTTTTCTCTCCCCACTAAGCTTGAACAGGAGCAAAAACCACTTCTCTTCGAAGAAATGGTAGGAAGAATCGAGATGAATTTGAAAGATTTCTGGAAATTCAGTGAAGATCGGAAGTTAAAGGTGGGCGGAAGAACACAGGAGAAGAGAGAGAAAATGGAAGTGACGGTGGGTGGGGCTGACCCTTAACCATTATTATGGGCTTTTTATTTTAATTCTTAAATTATTGGGCTCTAATTGAAACCCTATAAAAGCCCAACAAAATAAGACTTTATAAAAGCCCTGTCCACTAAAAAATTAAAGGGTCAAAATCGGTTGTGGTTTTGGGCGATTGTGGGTGGTTTTGGGCGGTGGTGGGTGGTTTTGGGTGGGTCTGGTGGGTGGGTTCGGGTTAGGGGTTAGGGTTAGGTGGGTTAAGGTGGTGGGTGGGTTCGGATTAGGTGGGTTAAGGTGATACGTGGGTCTGGGTTAGGTTTGGTGGGTGGGTTATTTGGGGCAGCAGTGTTGGTGGCGATTGGGTGGGTGGCAGAGGTTGTGGTTGTTGGTGTATGCGGCTAGGCAGTGATGGCAGGAGAGTTTGGTTCGGTGGGTGTGAGTGGTAAGGAGCAGGGGAGTTCTGGGTGTGGAGATGCGTGGCTGTTGGTGTTTTCAGGATGTCGGCAGGCGGTTTGGTTGGACGTGGTGGTGGTGGGGGATGGGGTGATTTTTTTTTTAATTTTTTAAAAGCCTTTTCCGACGGAATTTTCCGGCGGAAAATAATTCTGTCAGAAATTTCCAACGGACTTTTCCGGGTCGGAAAATCTCTTCCGATGCCTGGATTCCGTCGAAAAATTGGTTCCGACGGGAAAGGTCGTTTTCCCTACAACCAGTTCCGACGGAATTTCCGTCGGAAACGGGTTTTCTAACGGAATTCAAGGTGTTTCCGACATAATTTTTCCGTCGAAAATGACCTATTTTCTAGTAGTGTGCTCAGGGCCTCACAATTCCTAGGGCACAAGATATGTTTTTTTACTAAATATTAAACATGTATAAAATGATGTTTTTGCACTTACATATACAAATGATTGAACTTAGAGCATTTGGTTGATACTTCATTGATTTAGGGCCATTGGGTGTGGGATCAAATCTTGCCGGCAACAACATATCTTGAGACAGATTTTATGATGCGTGCCATTTGTTGGACTTTAGCAAATAAATAATAAAACCTTTTTTTCAAACACCAATATTAAAGTACTCCGTACTATATGTTATCTATACTTATATATAAAAACATAAATCACTCATGCCATATGTGACCTCTTATTATGTTACATTTTTTATTAAAAAAGGCTATATATAATGCTAAAATCTTTATTTATGCATTCTGTAACTTCAAACTTAAGTAAGAAAATAAAGTTTTTATTTTCACCATAAAAAAAGTTGAACTAATTAGTACACATTACACATAACACATTACAATTTATAACTTAATTAGAATATGAAAAGAAAAATACAAAAATAGTCTTTTCATTCACTAAATTTAAAATTCTAAACTAAAATCAATATCTCATTTTACATCCCATGATCTCTATGCATATATAGCTAACTAACTTCTTGATCTTCTTCCACAACTTCATCACCATTGATATCTCTCTTTTCTTTTAAGTTCTAATAATGAACTCTATCCACCATAAATGTCATAGAAACAATGATACCAATATTATATCAAAAGGTTCAATGATAAAAAGTACCTACATATACGAAGCATTATATTTTATCATCGAAACTTTAACAACTAATTCTTAATTATTGGATGGATTTGTTTAGTAACCAATACTATTTTTATCATTGATGAAACTTATTTTTAATCATATACTTCGTACACTTAAGGAATTTTTTCAATTTTTATTATTTGTTTAAAGTTATTCTATATATATATTCGCATTTTTTTTAATTATTCTTATTATTATTTTGCTTATATGATTAGTTTTATAGGTTTTCCGCTTCTACTTTCAATTTAGATTAAGAGTAAATCAAATAGCCATTATTTTTTTTCATTTTACAAGATTAAATGTTATTATTACAATACGATACCTAAGTAGTGTTTCATATTAATTGCAATAATTTAACATAAAGTTTGAATGGATAATGTCTAATCGTTACAAATAATATAAAACAAAAGTAGTAAAAGTAATAGCCCGTGCATCGAATAGGCCAAAAGGCTACAGACTAGTTTTTTTTTAATAAACCAGGCGTATGTAGCATATAATGAAATATCAATTTATCACTATGAAAAACCACATAGGTCCTACTGAAGATTCACTTTTATATTAAATTATCCCTCACATGCAAAAAGGAATCGACAGTTTAATGTAATAACTAGAATCTTAACTAATTTAACAATTGAGCACGCACGTATTGCTCTCAATTATTAGCACAACAACTTCTAAAAAAATAAATGTGCATTGTTAATTTAAGTACGTGCAAAAAGCATGCAGGTGCTAGATTTGCATGCATCTTCTATTTATTTATACAACAGAAATTTTCTAGTCATTATAATGACAATTACTCAAGTTTCACCGTTGGTGGAAAAAAGACATTAGGAATAACTTCTAATGTAAGCTTCGGCTTGCTAAAATCAAGGTGGTGCGCCCTATAAAATGGTTTCAACATTTATGGGTCAACTAGGGTAGTAGTTTCTGATCTTTTGTGTTGGTTTGTAATATTGTCTTCTTTAGGGCAAGTGTTCTCATAATTTTGTTCTTGTGAAGGTCGTAATTAGACTTGGCAATCGTGTCGTGCCATGTTAGATTCGTTTTCATGTCGGAAATTAAATGGATTGGGAAAGCTCAACATTAACCCGACCCATTTAATAAATGTGTCGTGTCGTGTTGACCCAATTAATTAATCGTATCGAAAACCCTTAACACTAACCCGCTTTTTTGGTTCGTGTCATGTTGAATGTAAAAATATTGGCCGTATTCAATATATTTATCAATAATTCCATAAATTATTGAATTTTTATATTAGGCGGGTTGGGTCGTGTTAATTTCGTATTGACAATCTCAACTCTAACCCAGGCCAACCTGTTTAACTAAAGGTATCGTGTCGTATTGACCCGTTTACTTAAACGTCACTAGTACATAATTGAGTTTATGTAACATGTTTTGGTAACACTTTTTAGAATGTAAAATTATTAGATTTATAAGTAACACTTAATAACATTTTATTAAAATATAACACTCAATGTAACACTTTTAGTAAAAGTACCATTACAAAGTAACACTTTTAAAGTAGGTAACATTTTTTTGTAACACTTTAACTTTAGGAAAATAAATTAAACATTTTTAATGTAAAAGTTAGTGGGTTTCCCCAAATTTAATACCAATCTATTAGAAATGCTTAATCCGCCAGAATTTTTAGAAAAAAAAAAAAAATAAATCAATCTCTCAATTCAAGTTTCCTCCTCCCAGCAACAATAATCTTAGGTCTATACCAGTTTGTTGTAGTCTCGCTCAATTCATCAGTAAATCAGTCGTCCTCTCGACCGTGGTCTTCGATTTCGTCGAATTTGCGCTTCCAATTTCAGGTAGTTCGGTGGATTTTTTTAATTTTTTCTGGTTATTTAATCATTAATTTTCAAAAATTCCTGGATTATCACATTCTAGATTATAGGGTTTATTATTTGATTAAATTCTGGAATATTATACAATCAAATATGCGTTTGTTGTTATTCACAATCTTATGCTTTTTTTTTTTTTTTTTTGTATACCGATGAATATTATTGTATAATTGATGTTATATACTTTCTATTATTGATCTTAAATTTAATTGCTTTTCATAGAAATCATCAATTAATAATGTGAAGTTGTAAATTTCAACAAAAGCAGTTGATTAATAAATCTAAATATGTGAAATGTATGAATTCTGTCTCTGACCTTCTTTTATGCAATTTGTTTTGGGTCGAATTTTATTTTCACTTCTGTATGCTGTGTTCGTATATAATAACATTGTCTCTTTTAATGTTCCATCCCAGCCACTTTATATAATAACATACTCTCTTTTAGCTTTGGTAAAAAAGAAATAGGTGATCCTCCATTTTGATTACTCTATTTTGACATAAAGTACAATTGGCATGTTGTTTAATGGTATAGGGATTACTAGAGTAGAATGTTGTTAATGAAAAGAAAGAGGGAGGTGTTATCGATGGATTGTAATTGTAAGTAAATCCGTTATTGGTTCCCAATATATTCTCACTGCAACCCCAACACAGAAACGGTAATTGTCTAGTGTCCAACGTTGGCTTGACAATTTGCAGTTGCAACTCTGCATTTCCCTCTATTGGTACAATGCTCAAACAAAGCACATTGCTTAATCTTATGAAACTACTCCTTTTCTTAAATTTACTAATAACTTAACCACTTAGATAGGTGTAATAGACTATCCTTGGGGGGGGGGGGGGAGGGACACTATTGGCATCATAGTGTATTTCAGTTATGAGGCAGCTTGGGAAATAAGTTGACGAATTTACACTGAGGAAGGAAATTAAGTAAAACATCGTAATCAATGAGAAAAATAAGCAGAATATCTTTTGAGCTGGTTTAACTTTATTTTTGCTTAGAATTGGGAGTGTCCAGTTTCTTGAAAAACTGGGATTGTAAACCCCATTTGATGATTTAATTTCATTGAATTTCAATTGCTACTTCTATCAACTTTCCCCCAAATTCTCTTCGCCGATCTCAATTTTACTTTTTCTGATTTTTCCATTCTAATACAGATTGATCCCCCCTGTCTCGTTTGCACTGATAATATTTTTACTCCTGAGGTTGATTGCTACCAGAATTCTCACCAATCAGCCTCAAATTCCTACATTTCAATGGATACTACCATAAAGGAAAACAACCTTATTCTTCTTCTTTTTTTTTTTTTTTTTTTTTTAAGAAGAAAGCAACCTTATTCTTGATCATTGGAGAAGGCAGAGGGATAAAAAGAATACATGTAGGTTGCTCATCTCACCTGTGTTATCAAGTCTTTTACTCTGTTGTCTTCTATTGAGATGCTACTATCTTCTGTAACATACCTTCAAGGGATATCACTGCACCCAAGGTATACTATGTGTCTTGAGTGAAAGTTTCATGTCCAGCTGCAAGTAGCAAACTATTGATGAAACTTCTCTGAATTCCATCCTTGTGCCAAGTGGCTAGGCCCTTGCTAGCTCTCCTCCTGTGCCATATTTTATTTGTCCAAGAACATTGGACATACCTCTATTTGGATGTATTATGATTCTCTAGCTTG